AGTTTAAACAGTAGTGGCAATAGTTCTTCCCTAAACATCTTGTAGAATTTGGCAGTGAAGCCATCAGGACCCGGGCTTTTCTTAGTTGGAAAGTTTTAAATTATTTTTTCTATTCCATTGATTGACATTGGATTGTTTAGAATTTTTAGGTCTTCTTTGTTCAACTTCGATAATTCATATGCATCTAGGAATCTGTCCATTTCTTCTGTGTTTTCCATCTTGCTGGTGTATAGGTTCCTGAAGTAGGCATTGATGATCCTCTGGATTTCTGCTGGGTCCTTTGTAATGTCATCCTTTTCATCCCTAATTGCATGGATTTGGGCCTTTTCTTTCCTTTTTCTGATAAGTCTGGCTAAAGGATTATCCGTTTTATTTATTCTTTCGAAGAACCAACTCTTGGCTTCATTGATTTTTTTGTATCGTTCTCTTAGTCTCCATTGAATTGATTTCTGCTCTGATCTTTGTAATTTCCACCTTTGCATAAGCTTTGGGTTTGTCCTGCTCTTCTTTTTGTAGAAGCTTAAGGTTCAGCATCAGGTTGTTTAACTAGGCTTGCTCTGTTTTCCTAATATAGGTATTCACTGCTATGATCTTCCCTACTAAGACTGCTTTTGTTGTGTCTCATAGATTCTGATATGTTGTACTGACATTGTCATTTAATTGTAGGAACTGTCTGATATCTTCTCTAATTTCTTTTGTGACCCATTGTTTATTCACAAGTGTGTTGTTTAATTTCCATGAGTTTATGAAATTTTTGCGGTTTCTTTTGTTATTGATCTCCAGTTTCATCACCCTATGGTGTGATAATATACAGGGGATAACTTCAATTCCTTAAGCATGTTCTATGAGTGAGTATGTGGTCTATTTAAGAGAACAACGCATGTGAAGCTGTAAGGAATGTGTATTCTGATTTTGTAGGGTGGAACACTCTGTAAACATGTTAAGTTCATTTGTTCTAGAGTTGGATTGACTTCTAGTATTTCGTTATTTTTTATCTAGTTGATCTATCTTTTTGAGACAGTGAGGTATTGAGGTCCCCCACTACTATTGTATTAGTGCTTATGTGATTTTTCACGTCCATTAGTATTTGTTTTATATAGTTGGGTGCACTAGTGTTTGCTGCATATATGTTTATGATTGTCATCTCTTCCTCTTGGATTGTTACCTTTACAGGTATGTAGTGTCCTTCTATGTCTCTCTTAATCAGTGTTGGTTTGAACTCCACTTGATCTGCAAAGAGGATAGCTACTCCTGCTCTTTTTTTGGATTCCTGTCACATGGAGTATTGTCTTCCACCCTTTGACTTTCGGTCTATTTGTTTCTTTTTGAATTAAGTGTGTTTCTTGTATGCAGCATATTATTGGATCTTGCTTCTTGACCCATTCTGCCAGTCTGTTTCTTTTGATTGGTGAACTGAGACCATTAACATTGATGGTTATAACTGAAACGTATTGACTTATCCTTTTCATGACTTTTTCTTTTTATTGGATCCTCCCCCTTTGCATTTAATTTCTTGTCATGCCTGATGGATTCATTCTGGTGGGCTTCCTGGGGTTGTGATCCTCATTGTCTTTTCCTAGGATATTGTCTAAAATTTTTTGGTGTACTGGTTTGGTATTCATGAAGTTCTTAAGGTGCTCTTTGTCATGAAAGTATCTCATTTCTCCATCAATTTTGAAAGATAGTTTTGCAGGGTACATCAATCTGGGTTGGAGACTATTTTCATTTAGGGCTTGAAATACGTCACTCCACACTCTTCTTGCCTTGTGCATTTGTGTGGAGAAGTCTGCTGTGATTCTGATGGGCTTTCTTTTGTATGTGATTTGTTTCTTTTCTATAACTGCTTATAGAACTTTGTTCTTGTGTTTGGTTTCTGGAATCTTTACTTTTATATACCTATGTATAGATTTTTTTTTGGTCACAGCTAGTTGGATTCCTATATGCCTCATTTATGTGTATGTCAAGTTCTTTTCCCCTATTTGGGAAGTTTTGTGCCATCACTTTTATCAACGGTTTTTTTATGTCATTTTCACCCTCCTGTTTCTTCTTTGACTCCAGTGAGTCTGATGTTAATGTTCTTTGCATTGTCTAGTAGCTGCTGGATTGATTCCTCATGATCTCTTACTGTTTTTAAGAAATTTTTCTTTTCCTGGTCACTAATTGCAATCCTGTCTTCTATATCTGAAATTCTGTCCTTGCATTGGCTCATTCTGCTGCATAAACTTTGAACGGAGTTTTTAATCTGGAAATCTGTTTTATGGATTCCATTTGTTTCCTATGTTGGGATTCCATCATGCTCCTCAGCTCCTCTATTTTTTTTATCTGTGTCCACTCTAGATTTATTAATCATGTCTTGTACTATGGGCACAATCTCTTCTGTTATCTGAGATATTATTTCTGATTTCATTTTTCCCAGATCCTCTTGTTGCCAGTTCAGAGAGTCCAGGTGGTTGTGTATCAGATTGTTCCATCTCGTTTCCCTTTGGGGTTGCTTTAGGTGATCTGGAGGTCTGATTTTCAGACTTTTTTATGTGTCTTCTCATTTCAGCGGATGCAGCCTGCTGTGTCTTTGTTGAGGAGACTTTTTTGTCACCCAGTGGTCTTGAATTCTCAGCAAGCCACTGAGCAACGTTTTCTCTGCTGCTCACCAGAACACCAATTCCTGGGTTCAGAGTGCTGGCCTTCTGAATCCCTGAGCTGACCTGTTGTCTGGGCGGGCTTCTGGCTGGGGTCTGTGCACACTTGAGATGGTATCTAGGTGTGCCCCTTGCAGGGGCCCCTATGTAGCTGTTGTCTGGGAGGGCCTTTGGTTAGGGGCTGTGCACCCCAGTTCCTGTTGTTTGCACAGGCTTTGGCTAGGGTCGCCACTTATCAATGGTATGGGGATGGGGCAAGACTCTGGGTATTGTTTGTGTGCCTGTACAGCTCTTCTCCAGGCGGGTCCCTGGCTGTGGCTGATGGTATGTCGGGCCTCTGGTGGAAGCCTGTGTGCCCATGCAGCTCCTTTCTGGGTGGACCCCCAGCCTGGGCAGGCATTCAGGAGCCTCCGGGTTTGGGATGGACCCTGATTGGGATCTGCCTACAGCTGTGCAGGTCTGGGTCACAAAGCCACTCCATGGGATCTGCATGCACTCACTGATGGAATGGCAGGCCTCTGTGTTTCTGTCTTTTCTTTAACACTATTCTGTAGTATGACATAACATTCTCATTAAGCAAGTGAGTTCAATGGTTGGCTTTTTCTCTGTCTGAGTGAGTCTTCTCTACAAATGTTTGTAGCTCTGTCCATTTTTCAGGATTTCCTTAATTTCCGAAGAATTTTGCTGCACTCATTGTTGATTCTCCCCCTCCTCTTCAGAAAGCTCTTCAGCTCCCATTCTCTGTTGCTCAGCCAGAAGTTGCTGATGTTCCTCTGTAGACAATTCCTCTGAGTGTTCCTCCACCAGTTCCATGACATCACCACTGTCTACCTGCAAGCCTATTGAGTCTGCCATAGTGACAGTGTCATCGAGCACAGGGACATTTGAAGGGTCAGGCTCCTCTACTCAACCTTGAAAGTCTCCCTCCTGTATAATTTTAGGCCACACTTTCTTCCAGGCAGATCTCAGTGTCCTTAGACAGACATTGGCCAGGATTTCTCAGTTAACTCCATACAGGAAATACTGGCATTCAGGTCATAACTCAAGACTTTGGTCATAAGTTAAAAGTAAAACTCTGGTCATAACCCAAGTTGTTCCTATGTGAGGCCAGTCATAACTCCAAGGTCTACTATAGTTCTCACTAGCAAGTATGGTTTCTGTGGTCTCAGCTGCTTCTGGATAGGCTATCCCTCTGCTTCCTCCATGTCCTTCACCATTAGTGACTTCACCCAGAAAAGGCCTCCCATATCTTCCAGGCCTGGGTTTAATTCAATAGTAGTCTATGCCACTTTATATTTTTTGAGTGCTCATATCCTTATGTATTCCCTTGAACTGAGAACTCCTTAAAAATGAGCTTACATTGCTTAGGCCCTTGAATATAGTAGATACTAAACTGTTAATGTCCTTCTATAAAGTGGAGCACTATAGACTAAAAATCTGCTAAAAATGGCTTTGTGTATATAAATATGCTGTTGTCTATAAAAAACATTTTTAATGTGTCTGAATGAATAAGTTAAGGTTGTAAGATATTTTTCTCTATGAAACAGAAAAGTAGATTATTATTTGTGATACAATCTGAAGTTGCCAAGTTGTCAAGTTGTCCTTCTAATCCCACTTCCAATATAATATACAAAACAGTAAAGTTTTTAATTGTGTTAAAAGACAAAGCCTATAGCTTACATATTTTATTTTTTTCAGCCATGTAGCTACAACAAATATTTAAAGAACTAGTTGTATTTAAGTTACTGGGATTTTGTAGTAGCAAATGATATTCCCTTTGTTAAAATAGTTTAAGTGGGAGGTTCATTGTTGGTGTAGTTTAAAGACAAACTGAATTATTATTTCCACTACAATCATTTAAGCTATTTTGTTATCTCCCAAAATTAGTCATTAATGGGCCAAGTGGCACTACTGACCATATTGCATCAAATAACTGAAAATGGCATGAGACCCTAGCTTGAAGCTTGCTACTGGTGGCTTTCTCTGTATTTTTCCATAGCTGGAAGGACACAACATCTTCTCGGCCCTGAGCTCCAGTGAGTATGAGCAGGTGCTGGAGATCATCCGCAAAGCCATCATCGCCACAGATCTTGCTTTGTACTTTGGAAACAGGAAACAGTTGGAAGAGATGTACCAGACCGGATCTCTAAACCTTCATAATCAGGCACATAGGTAAAAATAGCTTTACAAACTTTAGAAGTCCAGTAACTTGTTATATGGAATAAATTGATATTTTAAAAAGAAATATAATTTGGCATGAATTTGTATTTGACAGAAGAAATATAAAAATAATGCTTTTCTATTCTATGTGCATTTTTTTATATTTATTTTGATCATTTTATTTTTTAGCAAAATTTCTGACAGTACACTAGGCAGATAATTAAAATCCTAATCAGAATGTAAAGTAGTCACACATGAACTGGTACCTTTAAAATAAAAGGTTCTCCCTTAATTTTTTACAATCTGGGATTTGGCCATCAGCCTCAGACCCCAAAGTACATGAAAGTGGATTCACTTTTCAGAATCCAAATCCTGTTCTCCAGGCTAATGTGATTGATATATAAAACTGAAATTCCATTTTGTTGATCTACAGAAATATATTGCTTCACAAGGATCAGAATATTGGTCTTTGTGTGGTCAGAATCACTTAGAAAGCCAAGCAGCAACCAAAAGTTTGTCCAAGAACATTGAGTTAGAACAAGGAGTATCAAGTTAATTAAATGTTCTAATAGCATCAGGCTAAATTGGTTTGATGCCTTTTTTTCCAACGAAGAGTATCCTGCCTAGTGGATTCAGAGCTATGCCAAGTGTATTCATAATGACCCTACTCTCCCATCTTTGGATTATTTAAGTCCACTGCCAACTTGCCCCTCCCCTTGACAGTTCTTAGATGGTTAGCACCAGCATTCTCTGCTGCGACTCTCCTGTACCTTTTCCATGACTGACCAGTGCATAGTAAATGATTCTATCCTTATCTTTAGGTTTCTGAACATTCATTTACTGTTCTGTGCCAGTCTCTTCTTGTTCAGGTGCTTTGACTATCTCCTCTGTGATCCATTAAATACTAAACCTCTATGGTAGAGTCTGTTCTCAAGTTCTTATAAGAAATTTACTCAGGCATGCAAACACAAAACATTACTTTTACAAGTGGATACTGATATCTAATGAAGTTCACCTCATTGAGAATAAATATAGTTTGTATAATGATAACGACTTCTTTGATTACATAGAAGTTATTTGTGATTCAGTTTACCTTCAAATATGGACATATCCAGATTTGTGGAGCTTGACTCTCACACAAGATTGGGGAAATCTTTAAGAAAATCAGTACAAGACATTTGATTTTCACATACAGAAGGGCCCCTCCTAGGACTGCCAAAGGGGTCAGGGGTCAGTGAAGTTCTGTACAGGACCCTTAGGGTGTTCTAACTCCTCTGCCTGAAATCCAGCAGAGCAGTATGTCTACCATATTCTTATCTCCAACAGGTTGTGCTAAAATCTATACAAACAGGTGTTTGCTCACAGTTCTCTTTATTTAATGGCAATTGTAAGGTCAGAGAAAGCCTTCATGAAGCATGCTTTGGCTTCCCAAAACCCAGGTGCTTCCTTTTTTATTGCTGAATATATTATTTCTAGCTAACTTATTATAGTAATTATGATTAGAGAATAGAAAATTTAAACATCTAATTACAAATAATATTATTTAAGGTAGTTAATACAAATGTATTTGAGTGCTAATTGTGTGCTAATTATATAGTATATTACATACTATTAAGTAATTTTTTATACCTCATAATTTTAAAATTAATGCTTGTTTTAACAATTCAGTGTAGAGATGTATACAGGAAAAACTATAATATTTACTTTTTCTATATTCTAAAAATACCTGCTTATTTATTGAAATATCATATCATGAATTTTCTATATTTTTAAAAGATGTACGGATACACAGTATGTACAGTTAATACAAACCCATATTCTTTTTCCCTCTCTTCTGATTTTTAAAACATAAATGTGATTATACCAGATATATTCCTTTTTAGCGAGTTGAATAACCTTATGTAATGTGAAGTGGTACTACATAAAGGTTTACTAAACTTTTTTCATTGATGATCAGCGTTTCTAGAATTTTGCTTTATAAGTAGTGCTTCAATAAGTCTTGCCTAAAGTCTTTACTAGTGATATCTCAAAAAATATATAGCACATATTGCTAAAAATTGATGCACATATTAAATATTTTAAAAATATTTTAGAAATTCACACCTCTCCTAAGGATGAAAAATATTTCTCATTAATTTTCTGAATACTTACTCCATTGAACATATTTTCATGTTGCTTACTATTTATCATTCCCACTTCTGTGTTTATAATATTTGCTTATATTTTTCGAATAATTTATTTTTTTCTGATAATTTATTTTTAATAAATCATTTTACATTCTCTATTTTTGTTAAGGATATTAAATTTTTCTGTTATGCATTACAGATATCTTCTTAAGGTTACTTTCAAAAGTATTACACAGATTTTCTTTTCTCTTTCATTGCTACACCAAATCCTGAGCCTTCAGACACACTAGGCAAATGCTCTGCCTCTGAGCTACACCCACAGTACAGTACCAGTTTTTCTCTTCTGTAGAAAGACACTTTTTTGATAAAATTATATGGGTTGTATTTTATCACTTGTAAATTTAATTTTCCCATCTATAACTGGAAATAGATTCCAGTATACATAGGTATGAATTTTTGTATAGTTACATTTTTCTGCATCTGGTAAACTTTGGTATATCATTTCATACATATCAAAAAATTCGTGCATTTCATGTTTTATTTCTTCTTTCATTATTCATTATTCTATTCATATCTTCAGACTAGTGTAATAAAGCACTGCTAAATGAGTGGTTTAGAACAATAGAAATTTGTTCTCTCATTGTTCTGGAGACCAGAGTTCTAATATCAAGTTAACAAAGAGGCTCACCCCTGGGAGGCTCCATCATCACAGACTTATCCTCTCACTGTTATCTCTGTGTTCACATGGATTTCTTCTTTCTTTGTCTCTCTTTAACTTTCTTATGAGGACACTGGTCATTGGATTAAGGAACTTCCCTTTTCCAATATATCTTTATCTTAACTGTTACCTCTGCAACAACCCTATGTCTACATAAAGTCACAACCTGAGAAATTGAAAGTTAGGATTGCAGACACAATTCAAATCATAACAATTATATGAGTGTATTTTTAAGATTTCAAGTTTCTTTCTAGTATGATTCCATTGTTCACACTTTTGGCATTATTTCTGTCCTTTTAACTTTATTGAGGACTATTTTATTGCCTGGCATAAGGTCTGTCTTGTCGAATGCTTATGTGTCCTCAAAGAGAATATATATTCTTCTGTTGTTGGGAAGAGTGTTCTCTGTATAGCTTTTGGGACTCTTTTAGGATTACTCAAATTTTATGTTTCCTGCTCCTGTAGTTTTCTGCCTCCCTATTTTATTCACCATTGAAAGTAGATTATTGAAGCCCAAATATATTGTTGAATTCTTTGTTTCTCCCCTCATTTCTGCCAGTTTTGATGCATGATATTAGGTTCATATATGTTGTAAACTGTTTTAATGTTTCTGGCAAATTGACCCTTTTATTCTTATAATATATCCATCCTTCTCTCTAGTAATATATTTTGTTTTAAAATCAATTTTGCGTGAATCAACATATCTACTACAATGTTTTGTAGTTGATATTTGCATGATATCCTTACCTATCCTTTTATTTATAACTTATTTACATCTTTGAATCTAAAATGTTTCTTTATCCGACAGCATATACCTGGGTACTGTCTCTTCATCCAATCTGACAATCTCTGCCTTTTGATTAGGTCATATGTCCTAGTGTCTTTGCATATGTGTTAAGTTTTATTGAAATCTAAACATTTTAGATAATAACAGCAATTCTAGGTACCTTTTTTCATCATCCATGTTATTATTATTTGTCTATTTATTTAATGACTGGATGGATTGTCTTGATGAAGTCTTTGTACCTCGCCTCCCCCTCCAAGGGTTCAGCCTCTGCCCTGACTCCAGTGGGGTGACTGGTTTTGGCATTTCTTTCTCTTTTTTTTTAATATTTCTGTTCCTGACCACACCTTACACTCAAGCTCAAATAATCATCCCCTGGTTGCTTTATTTTTTACAAAATGTCCCAGGGCAAAATTTGCTTTAATGACTGATCCAATCAAACTAAGGCTCCCTTCAAGGTTGAAACAACTCCTGAGGTTGTTGTTTGAGATTTGTTCTGACCACGGGAAGCTCTTCCTGGCTGTCTCTTTCCCACTTTCCTCAGCAAACTTTCCTGCAGTTTATTCTGTTATCTCCAGGAATATGTCGCTGTTCTCCCAGTTGCCTCTCCCACAATCCTGCTGTTCATAGAACACCCTTAGGGAACTGTCATTGGCTGGTAAGTGATAAAGGACTACCCACCTTGAGAGAGAGAAAAGTATGAACTGTCTTGCCCATTTTTCCACTGGGGGCAATTTCTTGACTGTGGCACAGGGAAGTGGAGCCAAAGAAGAGCATTGTACAAGCACTGAGTACAATTTTGGGACAGGAACATTATGCACATGTGCAAGGACTCTGTGGAGGCTCCTCCTGGGCCATTGGCTGGGTCATTACTGGTTGCTCACACCCAGGTGACACTCCAGGAGGGCTAGCAGGGCAGCTGTTGCAGGCTGAGAGTAGTACAGAGATGGTGAGGTTGCAGTGTTTGGAAACAGACGTCCAGCCCACCAAGGGTGAAGGAACAGCTAGAACACAGTGAGGCCAAGTCATGGAGTCATGGCCCAGCATGAGTTGGGATGACACCTGATCTTCTTGACCAAAGCCTAAATGTCATCCTCCATGGTTCCAAGGAGAGCCAGCCATGAAGGAACTTCTGGGCACAGCAAAATTCAGAAGTAAGACAGCACTGTCTAGATTCCCTACAGTGAACTGCCAAAAACAGAAGTCAGCAAACCAGGACCTCCCACCAAATCTGATGTGTGACCCTGATTTCCTACACAGCCCATGAACAGAGAATGAGTTTTACATTTTTGAAGAGATAGTAAAAAGAAAAGAACAAAAAATGAGAATATGCTACAGATATTATATGTGGACAACAAAGACCAAAATATTTACTCTCTGGCCT